ACAATAGTGGAGAGTCAAAGTGGTGAAAAAAGCAGGAAGTCAGCATCACAGCAGAGGTACAGATGAATGGTGTTTACCAGTTCTTTCAGTGTTTGTAAGTCTAAATACAGACAGCAACCAGAAAACAAACCATGCATATTACTTGTACACTGCACGTCCACCGTGTGAGCAGTCCATTTACATGCTAGCTTCTTCACTCAAATCAGCCTCTTGTGAACCAAAGCACACCCACACAGTCCTCAGTGAGTGCATCTTGTTAGAAACATGCAGAGATGGAGGAAGTGCCACAGGTGCTAGAGTGACTGGAAAATATTTTAATTTAAATTTTGCAAAGTACATTTAGAGAAAGCATTTGAATCTAGTCACTAAGTTGTACTGAAAAAATAAATGTCAAACCTGAAAGCAAGGATAGGATTTTTTTTTTTCCAGCAGGAGGAAACATATTTAACACAGTCTGAGCAGTATACGTTTAATTGTCACAATGTATGCATCCACCCTTTTCACAATCAGAATCAGAATCACCTTTTTTGGCCAGGTGTGTTGGACACACAAGGAATCTGACTCTGGTACAGTGGCTCTCAATGCGTATGTACATGTCCTTATGTAAGACAGCATTGGCCACTAAACAATGTAAGGCTGAGAACAGAAGTAAAGAAGTAATGTACAATCAAACAAAGGAATCCTTAGGGGGAACACGTAAGCACAGCCATACATTAGAGATTGTTTTAGATGATGTTTATTGTGCTTACCTCCAAAAGTCAAAAGTGCAGATTAGTAACCCCCCCAAAGGAACATGTGTTTCTACATAAAAAATTAAAAAAAAAACTCAGCTACATATGGACTATAGTAATATCGAATTTATGAGAAGAAATTAGTGGGACAGTGTATACGGTTTCACCAACTCAACAAATTACAGCATTGAGAGAGCACAAGCTTCCAAGGCAGCTCAGTTTCCCCATGATCCCACTAAAAAATGTGTGGAACAAGATGAGGATCCAGATCACCACCAGAATGTAATGAATTATTCTGTGGGCCATAACTAACAGTACCTCTCCAAAAAAACCATTCCAAATCCATTCATAATTTTTTGAGTTATGTTGTGAACAAACAATAACAGCGGTATTAGCATAGCCTCTTTGGCTGAGGCAACAATGTATGACTATCTAATGGAATCTGGGTGTAATGGACAAAACACAAAGACAAAGAGACACTTACACTTGTGACCATCTTTTGTCCATTAAATGTTGTATTCTACATCTATGCAAAAATAT